AGTTTTTTCTATAGGTGTGTATTATAATTTATAACCTCGTACCAACATACCGACAATCATTTGCTTGTGACGGATTACTCAGTCCTATATATTTGTATATGTTGCAGAATCAGAAGGTTGAGGCACTTGATGTTGATGTAGTGATTTCATTGGTCTTTATTTGGGACTTGATGGTTTTCCAGCAAATTTAATTGATGAAGGTATATATTAACATTTTGTTCAGTTATTAATTAGTGGGTCAAGTTGATGCAACTTAAATACCCGCCGCAATTCGCATTAGTTATGGACGGCTAGTTGCTTTATATTCTTATCTGAAAAACAATTATTATGGTAAATTTCGTTGTATCTCAAAACCAATCGTGAAATTTCAATGTCGTCTTTATGTAGCTTTATTGTATGTCTATCTAGTATGTGAGAGTATCAATTCCTCTACTTCAGTATCGTACAATACATTCTCGTAATGTGACCAATTGAACACCCATAGTGAGTTGACTGGCACATAACTCACGTACCATTAGGTAAATTAATTAACCATATAACTAGGATTCTAGCTACTTCAAATAAAAGCAAAGTACACAGAGTATTATGATTTTTTTACCGTCAAGTCCTAATAGAGGAAAAAAGAGCAATTAATATAAAAAAATATCAATAGACATTAGTATGCAGGAAAAAAAAATACTATAAGAGTATATCGAACAAATAAGTACCACGCTAAAAAATGTTCAGATGAAAATGAAAATTAATTCTGAAGTGCAATATATAAGCGAAGAAAACTTACAGCAGAAAGAGGGAAAGAGGAGAAGGATGCAAAAGACCAGGTCTCCCAACCTAGTCCTTATCATCTAAGTCCATGCTCATGCTTTCTTATTTACAAAATTGTTATCCAGGTTGGTGGTAAAAAAGTTAAAACTGACAAGGGAAGAAGAAAACATAAAAAAGAATTTACACAACCATTGTTTTTCTTTTTCCATCACAATGCATACGACGATGTGAGCTCTATATCTCAATCTCACTTGTTCAGCTACTATTATTTTCAGTATTTTCAGTTTGCACAATATGACGTTATATAAACTAAATCTTTAGCATGTCTTCTCGGAACATTAGGATATTAGGTTGGCTTTCTCTGTATGTTCACTAGATTGGATTGCTAATGTGACAAAATGAATAAGACTAACGCCTGAAATAATATTATGGTTACTAAGGAAACAACATCATAATTACAATCTTAATATTATGGTTACTAAGGAAACAACATCATAATTACAATCTTAGTATGGCACCTTGTATAGAAGTATCACAATTAATTTTTAAAATGAAATATGATTTAAAATGTTATGATTAGATAAGTTTGCAGCAGAAACTGTAATAGCTCAAGGCTGAAAATATTCAATTNAAGAGTTCCTCATGTAAAAAATTTATGTGAAATTATTTAATATTATTGTAAGATTATCACTTTAATTTGAACTTACAGAATAAAATTTATGTGATAAATGTCTATATTTATCATGGAATTTATAGTTTTGAATGACAGCAAAACAATCTTTGGTAAATAGATTAAACCTGACAAGTGTATTCATAATTTAACTACGACACTGAGTAACACTGGTTTTTCAACTTTGAGTAGCAAGAAGAGAAAGGCACCTGTGGTGTCCTCGACCCCCAACGTCGAGATTTTGAACGATAACACAAGTGAATCGAATTATAATGCATGCTCAGATTTCCTCAAGAGCACCCCTTCTCTCAATATAGCCCCATCAATTTGGATTATAATGATTGCGACTTTCTCAAGCTCTTTGACTTCACTCATAATGGTCAAGGCTATTTGCTAACAAGTCTCAAACATGCAAGACAATAAATAAAACACAATCATTCATAAGCACTATCTTCAGAGAAAAATAAGGCAACTAATTCATATTT